GCACATAGACCAAGCTTGAATACCTTGAATCCTAGCCTTGTTCGCTTGCTTTAAGTATGCACGTTAAAGATCGACGATGGCCGAGATTTCAGAAATCGTCAAAACTACGACAATGGCCTACCACGATGGGGATCCAAACACGCTCACACGTGTTTGGCAAGCGCTATTCTATGTAAGTGACACCCTTCACCGCAAAGATAGCAACGGCTTGTCTTTGGCGCACCAAGGACAGGAGTGACCCAGAAACGTGCAGATCTCTAGCAGATGCGGAATTTGCACGCACAACTTTTGGACAATTTTCGGCCAATTGGGGGGGCCATTCAGAGGAGGTGGGACTAATTGTTTTTTCTTGAAAATTGGTAGTTAAGGGTTTTGCAACCCAATCTTTCCGATTCTGATGTTTTCTTGTAAATTTAACGTGTCCTTTGTGACGAAATTTGTCTCTCAAATAGAGGACAATCAATTCCGGACAGAGGAAGTATTAATATAGATTTAATTATTATCAATTAATGGTTTAATTCACTCCACGGAATCGGCGCTTTCCAGTCGATGCCACAGCATCACAGATGTCTGCTGTGCCCAGCATCCATGTTGGCTGAAAGTGAGCAGCAGCGCCCACTCTGCCTTCCGCAGGTCAAAGTACTTCTGGCTGAATTTAGATCAGGTCGGGGATTCACTCTGCAACTTCGCGAGCCAGACTACAGGAACTCTATTCCAGAGTGGCTCCCAGTATGCAAAACATAGCAGGAAAATGGGACAATGAACGTATGTAACTGCCAACGTGATGCCGCTGCGCACCTGAAAGTGCCAGGACAAGCCGATTCCAACCTGTGATGGGCCTGCCTTACAGCACCGATATGCTGTAAAGTATTAAACCCTTCCGTATAGCAACGTAACGCTTGGCTCTGTTTTGGGGGCAAAAATACAAATAGCAACGCAAACCTTGGCCTTTCTGTGCAGAGAGAAAAGCGTAACGATGAAATTTTCTGATGCAAAAGGGTTGAATATTATACAGTGCATGCTTTAGCAGCTCGCTTGGGTGTGTGTGTGCTTGCAGCGTGTCACGCAATGGGCTTGGCGCATGTTTTTTTGGGCGTGTCACGCAATGGGCTTGGCGCATGTTTCTTTGGGCGTGTCCGCAGCCCGTTTTCCGCACCGCCTGCAGCAGGCGACCCCTGGGAATATCACACTGCTTGGGCCGCGAAAGCCGAGTGCAATCCATCCCAAAGTAGGCGCAGTACTTTATGAGGTGTCGCACGCGGTGCGGAGGTGCCACCGTGCCCCATACAACTGATTTCTGCATGTTCTGGAGAACGCAAAACCACGTGCCAGAACCACAAGGGACTGGACACTGACTGCGCGCTAGGTGCAGAAAATCTACCCCGCCCTTCCCTCTACTCCACCCCTCCTTGCGTCTATCCTCAGTTCGATGCTGCGGCCACGCTTCAGGACAGCACTGCCACTGCACAATGGCTCGTTGAGAGAACAGCGAGAGATATAGCTACCTAAAGTACGGTGGGGGGTGGGGCGCCTCACGCCTGCACTTCTTTCATGCCCAGCACCGTTGCCAGATCGTCCACGCAATCAGCCATCCGCTCCCGGTCGCACACACACCCCACACCCTCCTCCAGCCCCGCCAGGCCTGCCACCAGGAAAATCATTGTCAATTTCAAATAATCATACTACGTCGTATTAAACATTATTACAGACCAATTATATTGCGCATTATTACAGGACTGCTACCGGGAAGCCAGTCGTCAATCACTCAAATTACAAGTGTTTGCAAGTTTAGTTTAGTACGCAATGTAATATTCTAGAATGGGCCTGCCGCCAGGAAAGTCTGTGGTGATGGAAATGGGCGATTGTGCGAATGGAGCTCAGACTGGGATGTGGTTGCAGATGGAGATCGTGGAGGCATCTAGTCCCCGGGTAAAGGAATGACCCCAAAAAACTGAAAAGGGACTGGACAAAATGGCCAAATGGGGGAATTTGCGGTAGCGCCCACGCCGCATTCATCGCCCTCAAACTGCTTGTTCCACGCTTGGTCGCCCAGCTACAGATGGGCCACTCTGGACAAGTCTGTGCAACATGACCTTTGGTTTTGTGGATGCTGCCAACGCAGCTGCAGCGGGGGGCTCGCAGTAGCGACCTCACGCAACAGCATCGCCGCAAGGATTCGCTGTTGGGCAATGCTGCGAGGAAGGCAGGAGGGCAAAGCCCGTGGCACACCATGAGAATTTCCAAACCGGATCATAGCATACGAGAATCTTGTACATTATCGGCAGCCGGCAGAAAGGGGGGGTGGGAGGTCCGGGGCTGTGGTTAGGTGGCAAGATTTGTTGCAAAGAGAGAAAGGAACAGGTAATGCAAAGGGGAACCCCTCCTAAACAAGTGTATGCGAGGCTCTTTTCCACGCTGTGAAAAGCTGATATACGGCCTCCGATGCAGAAAGACGAGCACACAACACAAGCAACTCAAAAGACAAGATGGAGAGGGGGCGGAATTGCGGGAAAGGGCGGACTGCTGTGAGATGCTCTGGCTCTGTCGGTTTTCCAGGAATGCATGCCATTCGAGGACCGCTGCCAAGTTTCCGACCATGATTCACTTTTCACAATCACCATCAACAGTTCTCCCATTTCATGCAGTTTCTGACCGTGCTTTTGCAGCCTACATGAACACGGGGAGTACAGCCACCGTAGGTGTACAGCTCGTACTGCCCGAAGGCGAACCGTACGAACGCGCTGGTTGTACAGCTGAAAATTGTGTGTTTGCGGTGCGTACCACATGTCGTCTTGACAATATCGTGCAATCAAAGCCATGCATGATATGTAAAGCAACAATTGCACTATCATGCATATCGTGCACAGCACACAACGCAATTTGCAATACATAACCATATTCAAATATGTGCGACAAGAACAACGTAGTCTACTCTAGTCGCCCCACAGTACAACCGACCATCCCAATGTCCAATTCCCAACTCCCTTTCAACTCTTGTGGGGAAAAGTGGCACAGCGCTCAGCTTTTCATACATGATGAAGATGAAATTCCATTAATTGCGTGTCAGCCACCGAGGGCTACGCGGCCACCCAACCACACAACAACGTGTCCATCGTTAGCTTTTCATACACGTGCAGTTTCTGGTTCCTTTCCAATCTGGAACAACAGCTGTTGCAACAGGATGGCCCTCACGGTGAGGGCCTTGCTGTTGGGCCTGCACGGGCTCACACCTGCGGCCAGGTATTCTTCTGCCAGCAGCGCCGCGCTGTCCATGACCGCTTCCAGGGCTCCCTCCAGCGCGTCAGGCAGCGCACCACCGTCCCGAATGTGCTTCGATAGGCCGTCTCCCCAGGAGGTCGTGAAGGACTGCAGCAGCCGCACAGAGCCAGCGCGCAGGCGGGCGTGCATTGCCGAGAAGGCCACCGGGCGGAGCAGCTTGGCCAGGAGCTCCACCTGCAGGTTGGGTCCGAGGTGGGTCGACTTGGATCGGGTGGGGGGCGAGAGAGAGTTTTCCATTAAATTGGGATCCCTTTTATGCAAAGAAAGGTTTCGACTGTACAAGTCACGTCCCATCCACGTTATGTCCAGAGTGTTTGTCCCACTTTTCTCAGCCGCTGAAGGCAACCAATGTATAATCGCCCAACACCCACACATCTCTCGTAAAGAATTAAATCGACATGGATCGGGTGGAATCGGGTTGAACAGAACTTATCAGCATTTGGAATGGACAAGATTTTGCTGTCCAATGAACGGGCCAGTCTACCCCATTCAATTAATCTTTGATTCTTTGTGAGAGCGAATGGAAAACGAAGTGAATGGAAAGTGAGAAGCGAATGGACAATAATTGACAGGTACAGATGTGAATGGACAGGAATTCAGTGCAGTTGGGCAGACTGAATTGAAACGAGTTTTGAAGCGTTCCAATTGCGTCGAATTCAGCTGAATCTACATCACTCGAACCAACATTAATAGACTCAATCTCATTGAATTTGAAGAGATGAACGGACCAAATCGATAATCTCTCTGACATCACAGGGGCGGCTCCCGCACTCTAAACTGGAACAAGTCTTGGAACAGAAGAGCTGCAAACCATGGCCTCAGGCCAAAACGCAATGTATGAACGTGGGGTAGCGCAGCCTTCAGATTCGTTCAGCTGAGAGTCCAGTCTCAATGGCACAACGTGCACTACAAAAAGACCGAATCCTGTATTTCGGGCCGCGTTACTCGGGGCACATATCGTCATTTACAGGGTTCAACAAAACATGACAGCAACGTCACATGACTGAAGCCAATTTTCATTGGCGCTTTACCATTCATTGGGCGGACGGCAACAAACTACTTCCTCAGTCCCAAATTAGTTGTCGTCTGTTTGAAAGGCTAAATTTGTTATAAGGACAGCCTCAAAATTTCAAAACAAGGTCGAAATCAAAAAGAATGCATCTCAAAACCCTTGGATATCAACTTCCAAGAAGGAAAAGTGAGACATGACCCTTTTGAGCGCAAGGCGACGGTAGATTTTGGTCATTTCTGACCCCAAATATTGATATTTACTGTGGAAAAAGACACTTAATACAAAGTATTGCGAAATCCTCAATATTTAATGGATTGGCTTGAAATTTTTATGGTGTACTCCCAACTCAAGAACACAACCGTTGGCGAAATTTTATTGAAAACAGGTGCGGTCATGATGGAGAAATTATGCACCAAATTCATAGACGACAGTTAACCTGGGACGGAGGAAGTATGTCTTTTGCAGAGCTCGACTGTAGTCAACAGCGATTCAAAGTACATATCGCCGATATGTGTCCATTCCGCCCAAAGGGCCCTTGGCAAACGTTGGAGGTGCTGGAAACACATACCCAGCATATGAGCATATCCAGGGCAAGCACTGTCCGAACATGTGAGCCACAATATACTTGATATCCACATGATGTAATCGACATCATACTCGAATATGGGCGAAGATAAGAGTCCTTCCCTATTGCCTTGAAGATGCTTCTTCAAGAGTAATAGCAGACCTGCTGAAGGAGGAAGCGGCCACTGGGCAGAAGGGCTGGGGGGCCTGCCGTGGGGCGGTGCATCTCCGTCCAGTTGAAGACGCCGCCAAGCATGGCGTCCATATCCTCAGCCACGCACTGGGACACCTGGTCGGCGACCAACTGGATATGGCGTTGCAGGACACCTGAACAGGCCACTGCCTTCGTCACCCACTTTGTTCCCTTTTCATTGCATCCGCAGGTATTTTAAGCCTTTGCCATCTAAGCAGAGCAATTTACAGAAAAAACTTTCAGCATCTGCCAAAAGCGCAATGAAACAGCACCATCAAAGTCGAACACCTGGGAAAAGGCAACACACATACAACTTATACAAAAGAATCAAAGAATCAAAGGGAACGATGCTCACCGTCCACTTCAGGCCAGAGTTCCTCCCTGACCATCTCCACCACGCTCATCTGGTGCACGTCCTCAAGTGCCATGGCATACACCAGAACCACTGCGAAGCACCTGAGGAAGAAACAAAGCCCACACATAAGCACGGGAAGCTAACAAACATGTGTTGCAAGTGGCTGTGGCCTATTGACCATCCCAAGAACCTGGAAGCCACTGTGTTGGGATTTCATCACATCGCACATGCAACAGTGGGTCCCTGTATACCCTGCAAAGATGGCGAACCTTGCCTGCAACCATAACAGTTACTGGAACAGGAACAAAGACAAAACCAGGAAGTGGCAGAATTCCCAAGCAAACGAACCCAGTGATGCTGACCCAAGATCCACTATCTTATGCTTCAGTGTAAGATCGTGATATATTGCAAACAAAACACAGCCGGCTTTCCACACAGACAAAAAGGGTTGTAGCCAGAAGAACGCAGAGGAAAACGATGAAAGGAAAGGACGAATGCCCGACTTAATATATTTGCGCAGGCAACACAGAAAACAAAACACAGAAAACAAACAGAAAAACACACACGCTTGTCAAGGCACATATCGCTACAATACTCAGATGAACAGATTCATCAGTTTGCCACCAGTTTCTCAGTGGAATATACAAACACCGATACTCGATGCTGGCCACAACATAGCCCCAAGACTCTTGTCATCACAGCAAACAAGTAAGGAGTGAAGCAGCGCAGCATTGGCACTGCCTCTCTCTGACCATCGTCCCCATCACCTGAGGGTCGACGCCAGGCCTGTGGGGCCGGCCAGCCCCGAAAAGGCGTGCTGCCTCCATAGCTGTGCGCACACCCGCACCTCCTGACGTGCCCACACCACCAACAACCCCGACAGCGCCATGGCGGAGGGTCCAAAGACAGAGCGCACGTCATCTGCAGCGTGCTTTATGGCGACAAAGACACACTGGGAAAGCCCGCAGGCATACTCCGTGCTGTCCAAGTCCCTGCCACCTGCAATGCAGCAGCTATAGGATTGATACAAACGGAAGCAAAACCAATATCAAAGCAGGTACGTTACAATAAACCAATTGAGAATGCAAAACAAGCTCAGGCCATGCGGGGAAGGACACACAATGCATGGCACATCCCTCCGCAATGTTCAGATCTTGGGACAGTATCAGTGTGACCAGTGCCTATAAGTGCTTTGTGATGCTTGGCAAAAATAACAGATCCCAACCTTCGAGTTTTAAGTTCAAGAGTTAGTGATGCGCACCAGGGTGCAGACATCATAGGCGTCCAATGGAACACCACCATGCTGGGTGAAGAGGGCATCCTAATAAGGCACAGTACAGAATTGTTCCTAGCATATTGTTTTCATGCCAAAAGTCGCACGTATTTTCAGGAATTCATGCACACTGAGCCACAAAGCCAATGCGCTAAGAGTGTACAGTCTCAACAAGCTGTTCACAGCATCAACAGTTAAAGCTGCGCAAGGGCACCACTTCATTGATTGGTTGCATGTTGTCCTGCCTAGCATGCCCCAAAGTGCTAGGGTCAGTTTCTCCTCAAACGTAAAACACACTCGCAGTGGATTTTCTTGACCAGTTCTGTGCACAGCGCTCCACAACAAGCGATTTGAATAGAATTCAACCTGGACGCTCATGAAGATCAGGGCTCATATGGGCTGCCAGCAACACCACACTTCCGATGCACACATCGGCCTTCGTTGCCTTGTGCATGCCTGGGTGAGATTTACCGGAATCATTGCATGTGGCAAGGCAATGCAAAGCAATTGTGAAGAAAGAGGGATTGTGAATACTTGCGTGGGAGCACAGGCGAGTATTACCGGATCTGTGCTTGATGTCCACGTGTTCAAAGCAGCGCAAGGAGGAACAATGCAAAGAGTGAGATGCAACACTTTGCAGACAAGAATAATTCAGGAGTTGGGAATATGTGCACGATTGTGCAATGCATTGGATGAAAAATTCGAAACTTTGGAATAGCCTGAAAAGAGACCAGGAAAAACACCTGTCCTGTGTGGCTTTAGGAGTTGCTGCTGCTGTTGGCGAAGGAGCTTGGTGTGGGTGGAGAGCATCATGCGCACAGCGTGCACATTGCCTGCAACTCCGGACAGCACGCGCAGGACGCCCTGTTTCCCAGATGCCCCCAAGGTGGGGTCTTGTAGCTGCAGCTCCAGCAGATGCACCACTTGCTGCCGCCGCTCCTCCAGCACGGAGCGCAGCGTGCTGGGAACGTTGCCAGTGTCGACTTCCTCAAGGGATGCACACACATGGGATCCATCAGCAGCAAATCCTAACAGCAGCAGATGCAAGCAGTGGTCTGCATCTGGTATGCATCATTGTTGTACGCGTCAACGTTGCATGTACTATTTCCCCAAAGCTGTAAACCTTCAGCGGTCTGATGAGTAGTCCTTTGAAGAAACTGGATGCACTTCAGTGGTCTGGGTTTAAGGTTTAGGGCACAACGGCTGCAGAAAGGGATGGCATTTTGGGGACGCCAGGACACAGTACTGATAGGAAGCAATGCACTGGCCAGCCATGTTGGTTATCTTCCATTTGCATAAGGCAATTTACACTGGATGTGTCCAGACGGAAATGTACTGGAAGGAATCTATCAGTGCACAATTTCAACAACATCCCATGCAAGGAAACAGGCACTGTGCCAAAGAACAATAAACGAACAAAGAGCATTCAAGCACTTTAGTGATGATGATACTGCTACCCTGTGGTTTATGCTCTAATTAAAGTGTTCTAGGTCCCAAGCATAGCACAGGGCATGCCAGTATCACACCTCCTGCTCTCAAGAGACAACTGCATTATGTTCTGTAGTATGGCAAAGGACCCCTGCACAGAACCTCCCATGCTTTCCTTATCAAGACACCTGTGCCAATCCCATAAACCAACATATCTCAACATGCATCAACACATAAGATTTCTCAGCATATCTCAAGTCCAGTTCACAAGAATGGAAGCAACAAATCTATTACAGAGGAGACCAGAAAACTGCCAGCAAGTCCACCCTCCCCAAATCCTGGCAGCTGAGTCCAGCCTTGCCCAGCACACTCACCTCAGAGATGGTGCTGTCTGCCCTGTCCAGGGCCTTGGCCGCCGCCACAAAGTCCCGCTCTGCGATTCCGATGTCCAGCTCGTCCAGCAGCTCTGCAAGGAAGGGCACCTCCCTGCTTAGCGAGTCCAGCTGCCCCAGTGCCGCACCCCCGTCGCCGAGGGATGCCTCGGAGATCGACTTGGACAGCGTGGGCCCGAACTTGGCTGACGCTGGCTGCACTGCCTGCTTGAGGTCCGAGATGATGGCCGACCAGTGGGTCAGTTGCGAGCGCACCTGCAAGGATAGGAACACTGGCACCACTTCTCACTATGTCACTACATTTTTTGGTTGTTGCATCATAATCATCATCATCATCATCATTGATGTCAACACTATTACCACGATCATGGTTCCTGAGCAATCATTTTGTCACAACATGACAAAATGTGACCCAGTTAGTTGGAATTCCCAATTGGCTTGCAGAGATTGAAATGGAGTTCAGTGAACAAGTTTGAGACTGTACCATCTTGGTAACCGATTTGCTAAAAGCCTTGCCTTTTGTGGCAACTTGGGATTGGGGGTCCAGGTACAGTGTCTACCAAAAATACAGAGGCACTAAGTCGACACCAGATGACACCATACAACAAGCATGCTGATGGGAACACTTGCATGCCAACCGACTAGCATTTGTTTCATCACCTGCCAAATGCAAAAACAAAGATTTGTCTTTATTTTAATAAATGGAAGCCCGTAGACGGCCTGCTGCTGTCCTCCACTGCTGCGATTAACATATGATTCTGAAGTCTCCACTGCATACACATGTACACCCAGGATGCATGCTTGTTGCTTCTGTCCAGACTCCTTGATTTCAATCACACTCTTGTCATGAACAACAACCACGGCATTGCCAAGCAGAAAAGGAGCCCAGGTGTCGTTGCTAGGGGGGGGATGATCCAAAGTACGACATGTGCCCACCAGTCCCACAAGAAATCTAAAGGGACGTTTTGCGCCCATACCTTCAATTTTGCCAACATCACTTGCCAGGTCTACTTTCTGTTGACTGCTGTTGCAAGTAGACTCAGTTATTTGAACCTTGGTTGTGAGTCTGATTTGGGGGTAAATTCACTGACTGTCCAGTCCCTGTGGCTGTAATAGGACTTGCCCAAACGCACATACATGTTCGGTGTTCCAGTTGTATAGGGCAGAAACAGAACAGTGTCCATGGTCGAGAATCGATGCGAATGCCCACAGCAGCAGAAAAAACACCTGTTGAAACTGGGCCTCCAGGTCTGCGGCGCCCTCACAGGCCTGTACGAAGGCCGGGTAGTTGCTCTGAACCACCCTGTGCACCTGTGCCAGGGGACAACGAACAGCAAAGCTCAAGTCCACAAGCTGAGCCCCTTATTGCAAGTGCCTCTGTTCTTGAGAAGGCAAAACTTTATCCATTCACACACAAAGCAACACAGCACTTGAGAATGATGTGGAGCTCAGGTTTCATAACTGCACGTGGCCTCAGAACTGCTCCCAGGGTGCAATGTTGGAGCCAGCCCCCATAGCCCCCGATGGCCAGCACTGCCCAAAAGCCGATCAACTTCGAGTTCTTTTCAAGACGCGTCTGTTATTGGCGCAAAAACTTGCCTGTGTTGAGGGCGTTGTGAATCCACAATTCCAACATGCTCACATCGTCCCATGGAATCAAGTTCCGTTGAAAATCTTGCAAATGAATGGCCATATACCATTGCTGAAAAAAGCCGTCTTCAAAGTAATGTTGCGGTTGTTTTGCTGAATTTGCCGCCCCTTCAGTACTTAGTGTGCTCTAAGCCCAAACCATCTAACAAATGACTGCAGTATTGGCAGAAGACCGCAGTGCTATTATACCAACCCTTGGATAATGCAGCACTGGTAAATGCTCTTCTTTAGCAGCACTGGTGGTGGCTCACCTCCTCTTCGCAGTGCTCTTGAAGGGCTGTGAGGTCCCCTCTGAGCGTGTCCAGAGCCTTCTCTGTCAAGTTCGCCATTGCAGCTCTGGAGAATGCATCAGCATTGAAAAGGTCATCTTCGAACAGCTGGATCTTGTCCCTGCGGCTGCCAATCATCTGCCCCGATTCTGCACATCAAAACCACACGGATTAGACCAATCAATCAGTCGACTGTGCTGTGCTTTGTTGTCAAAATGCTCGAAGCGCAAGCAGTATTGTGAAATGTCCATTAACCTTGTGTGCACTTTGCAACAGGGTACAGATCCCTATCAGCAGCCCCCAAAGAAAGTCAATCTTGTGAACTAATGGCTGCTGGGCAGCATTCCTTTGTGCCTCAATCGCGGATTCCATAAGAGGCAAGCGCATCTACTTCATGTTCGATTAAGCAAAGACTGTATTCAATAATGGCATTGGGTCGGCCAACGGAAAGAAGACAACAGAAACCAGAAATGGAATTGAAAAGGCATACAAAGGGCACTTGTAATTGAGGTCTCTGGCAACAGAGGGCATGAGTAAGGCAATACCGCTCTAATCCTTCCCTTGCCAGCCTGGCCTATGGTAGGGCCATCAATGCACTGATGCATCCGCCTTTACAACAGATCGCTCCCTTTTTGTCCAGTAAGGCCGGTAACCGGAACATTGAACTGAACCGAGATTCCTATATGGAGCAACAAAATTCAAGTTGCGCATGGATGGAATGGGCGTTGATGGCACTCCACAGAACACGAAGCTGCAGTTAAAAGTATCAGACACAAACACAAAAACATTATAGGACAATTGTGAGAACAAGCACAGAGTTCCGCCTGCATACCTGCAACGACTGTGGCCCCAAGGACCTCCTTCCTGAATTCCTGCCCCTCATGGCCTCCCTTTGAGGTGCTGTCACTTCGTTTCAGGTACTCATTCAGCTTTCTGGCTGTCCGCTGTGCCAGACTCAGCTTGCTCTTCCTTTTGTCACTGCTATCCAGGCCAGCAGACACCCTGGTGTCAGCAACATTTGTGGTTGTCCACATTGTAGAGGTGTAGAAAACGTGCAACAAAAGTGAGGGATTCAAGTAGTGATACAGTCCACCTGCTGAAATTGTGTTTTCATTGCTGAGACTCGTGGGTACCTTGCCAGTTAGCACACCCCAAAGTCCCGAAACAAACTACTGAAGCGCTTGCAGTTTCAGCAAGCAGGATCACAGAATCGCAACTTTCTGACAGCTCCTACACTGGAAAACCTTCCCAAACAAAATGCACCAGACCCCTTTTGCTTTGCAGCGGTAAACAAGGGGGACCAATGGAAAGAGCTAATCGAAGGCAACAAGCATTCTCAACTCCAACAGACATGTGTGCAGGTTTGCGTGGCTGTGACTTTATGTTTGCTAATCAGATGGAAAATACAGGTTGAACACAACATTGCATCAAATCTCTGTGCGATGCGAATACGTCTCCAATGTGTCCAATGTGGAATTTCAGCCAACAAATGGGCCCAACGTGGTCCACCCAAAGTGAACAAATGATATGAACAATATGATAAATATTGCCAAAACATTGGAAACTGCCCCAGGCATCATTGCAGTGACCAAGGGCCATCTTCATGCTCAATGGCAGTAAAATCGCAGTACTAAATAACAACAGCAATGTGATCATCACCATAACAATAAACAGATCATGTGGGAGCATGCAGCAAGTTTGCAGGCTCTCTTCAGCAGCAAAGAAGATGAACTGGTCTCCATACGTGATGGGCGAAATGAACTGTCAGAAAACTGTGAATGTTCCCACAGACATGGACAAGGCCATGCAGCAGTCGCCCCTGCCTGAGCAGAATGCCTGAGACTCAACGGCATATCAATGCTGCAGTCTTTTTGCTGAAACAATGGGCTTTTCAGCTGTTGGTGCTGGGTCTTGACATATTCTACCATTTAGAGAGACCGCAATTGCGACTAAAGACTACAGCACCAACAGGGTGCCATGAGAAGCTTGCCCACACTCAAAGGTGTCATGGGAGTTTCTGAAACCAACAGCAGTTATCATGGATTTTGCAGTCCGGCATGAGCTAGTCATGGTGCAAGATGCATGCAACGACAAAGGTGTTCATCCACCCTGTCTGCAGGTATGCATTCCTGCATTCCCATTGCAGTAGAAGGAGCATGCCACAGTTAACAAGTTCGCAGCATAGCACCACAACATTTTGGGCAATTCAAGGGCAAGAAAATGGCAACTTTAAAGTTGGCAGTGCCACGGTGGCATGCGTTGGAGCAATGTTGGACCCTGAAATCGGCACTGCAACAATACATCAGCCCGGTGTTTGGGCCACTCAAGCCAGACCCAATGCCTGGGCAGGACTCGCTGCTGCCAGATCTCAGCTGCATGAGTTTTACGCTGGGCCCTACGGCCCCCATTCATGGTGCAAGCCATCCGTTGCTGAGTTCCTGCCCAGTTAGGTGATCCAGAGTTGCTACAATCCAAGCACTTCAACATCCACAGGCCTTTATCAGCCATGCGTATGTTTAGGATCTGGTTTAGCATCATCGGGCTTTCAATATTTGTGTGGATCGCCAAAGTTCTCTGCCTTGGGCAGTCAATGTACGCAAATATCCTTGCAGTGAAGCTACAGCAACCTGCTCAATTCAAGTGCAAGGGACAAACAAACAAGTTGGGCCATTGCTGACTTGCGCCCGTCTGATGTCACATTTGCGCCTGTCAACCCCAGAAAAGCGCAACGGCGGTGCTTGCCGTCCCCGTACAAATACGATCAATGGATTTGGAATAGCGTTTGAGCCAGCTCCTTCAGATTGGCATAGAGGGACCCGTAGCATGGGCGTCCTGGGCCCACACACGCACGGTCCAAATCCTCTGATAGCAATTCTGAAAAGTGACCTGAAACAGCCACCGCAAGGGGGATGCCGCGCACAACCCATCATCCAGTTCGCCCAAGCACTCCCGCCGCGAGCGCCAAAGTCCAATCAACGACGCGGAGCCAGGCCCTCACCTTGCCGAGCCCCGCTTGCCCTCGACTTCGACGTCCGTGTCGGCGAAGGACGCCTTCTTGACCCGCCGGTTGCTCGACATTGGCAAATGCGCCGCGGATGCCGCCACCCGCGGCGCGCCCGTGCCCCGGCCTCGGGCCCCGCGGACCGCGCTCTGACCGAGAAGCGCGGGAACAGGTTCGCGAGCCCGGCACAGTGCCAGAAGGAACAGCGCCCAAGCGGTCGAGGCCTTCAGAGTGCAATCCGCGGATACGGATACGGATACAGAGACCACGTGTACATGGCTGACCTGGGGGGGCACTCATCCTTACAAGGGCAAGGTTCGTCCGTTTACGGGCAGGGTTTAATTTCTTTCCCCTACATGTACCATACCAAAACCTGACGCCCAAACGCCCAGCCCTAAAGCCCAACCGCCCAATCCTCAGCCGTCTCCGTCACATTTGCATGTGCATGGTCTGTGTCGAGAACAATATGCAGGTGTCCAGAGGTCCAGTGGTTGTGTTGCTGGGAGCAAGGACAGATTGGCGGTTATTGCATTATTGCGCCCGCCGCACGGCATTGTGAGAATCAGAATCAACACGATGAGGGCAAAATGCAACTCGTGTATGGCTTTGCATGGCTGTTTGATAAGTGCCTACTTGCCTTTTTATGTGACTTTTCACGGTGATCTGTTCGCTTGATGAATGCGTAGAGATTTTGGAAATGGGCAGCTTGGGAGGGTCCGAGTGCGCGATGTGGGCGGCCACAGAGGTAGTCCCACGAGGAGCAGCACTGGTGCATCAAGAAGATGGCTTGAGATTGTTGCGCAGGGCATGGAATCAATGCAAACAGCCAGAATGCAATTATGTCCATTGCTGAAAGGGCAGGAACGGAAAACAAAAAACGGAAAACGGAAAAGCATGAAAAAGGGGTGGTGTCCTGCAGAATTTCTAAAAGTGCAGTCTTTGAAGCAGTTGTTCTTGGTGGGCGCATGTCTTAAGCTTTCACGTAGTTGAATTCAGACATAATCATATTGTCCGTGCCGTCAAATTGAATGACTCATTGTGGGGCACATGGCCGACATATTACTGGGGTCACCAGTGGTTGGCCACCAAGCTACTCCCATTGCATACCATTGTCGTTATGGAGCCTATTCTGGGCATTGGCGCCCTGCCTTCAGCCAATTCGTTCTTCAACTTCAAAGCGGACAGCCTCATTGGCCCAATAGCTGTCGCAAGTCACTCGGCGTCCGCACCCCTCAATGTTCAGGGAACCGTGAATTGACTGACTCCGTCCCTCCAAGACAGGGTGGTCAAATTTTTGCTAGTTCAAACATCTCTCTGAGAGGGATGGAATGGGAAAGCAAGCGCGGTGGCTTGGAGGGGAGCTCAATGCACCATGCACCGAGCGTCGAACCGGGTAAGCTCTTACTACGCGTGCTCGCATTTCTCGCATTCCTGCCTGCCAGGAGCAAGTTGATAATTTCAGATCGGGGTAGGCGAGCCAAGGGTCGCAGTCGCCAAGGCGCCCGCGCTTTTGTGCCCCAAAACACCCTTCTGGTCACTGTAAAAGTCATGGGCCATCCATGGGCAATATCCTCACAACAGGTCATCACACACCACAACCAACAAACCACCCACTCCGCCCAGGCAACAATCGTGCACAGAGGCTGCTTTCCACGCCAAGACAGACAGCGTGGCTGCCTTTGCAAAAGAGAGGGAGATCGCATAACAGTGTGCGGCATGGCGAGCAAGCAAACAGCTTGCACGTTGGCATGCTTGATGTGGTGGGCATTCTGGGTCCATGAATACAGCTTACATGAAATCAGCTACAATCATCCACCTGTTTAGTCTGAGTGCACAAAGTGCATACAAAACTGAGCCACCGTGTGGTGCCTCGCACCACCCAGCTCCCGACACTTCACAATAGAAGCTCACTCTGCACTCCTAACAATAAAATCAGTTTCTAGTCAAAGACACCAGAGTGAGCTGCGACATCCAACAGGTCCAAAAATTGACAGCGAACACAATGGCTGGCGGCATGCTTGGATCTGGTCTGCCTCAGTTCCCCCCACATTCACAAGGCAGAAAAGCAAACTCAAAGAGATGCTATTTTCTGCGTCGTTACAGCGATGCTTTCGTTGTGAATCCATCCGAAAAGGCCTTTCAATGTTCAATGATTGATGTTGCTGCATCCCACAGGGTGACCTGTCCTTGGGCGTTTGTTCTTGCCACGCCTTGTCTGGTTCAGTGCCAACCAATGCCCTGATGCTAAACCAGAAATCTACAAGGCACTTTTCAGCGCTTCTCACCCAGCCTTGAAATTCAACCCTAGCGTCATAATATGCTCAGCTGGGAATACCCCTGCTGGCATCCTACCCAACGCTATCCCCACACCTACACAAAGTCCCCATTGCTCTTCCATTCCCTGGGTCTCACAGTGCACAGTGAGTACGCCCCAGGCAGTTTCATGGTGCAGAAGAAATTCAACACAGATGCGAACAAAGCCCATGGCACAAAGCACAAGCCATTCCACCTCAAAGCTCTCTCAATTTCAAACACACATTGTCTCTCGGGCGGGCCAAAGGTGACACCCCACCAGAAAGATGTGCCCAAGTCCTCTACAGCAACCGCCGTGCCCAGTACTCAGCCAAGCGCTCTTTTCAAAACTGGGGCGTGAGTGCGCCCTCTTGCCATTCATTGAACAAACCTTCAGCCCTTCACATCCATGGTGCCCCCCCATCAGTACGTTCACAGTACTCCGCAGTACTCCACAGTACTCCACAGTACTCCACAGTACTCCACAGTACTCCACAGTCCGCCTCTTCAAGTCCGCCAGCGATCCAAACCTCATCGAATCCAACAAGTAAAAATCCAACAGCCGATGCCAAGCCGGTTCCACAGCGAAAGCAAACAGCATCCATGATCCGCTTCAAAACCGCATGGCTCCGAAGAAGATGCCAAAATTGGAAACTCGATCGCCCTGCGGGGCCGCCCGCCACCCCGGTGGGGTTAGGCCAGCCCTGCTCAAGCGATCGGGCATGAAACCATCCCCAGATCGAAGCCCTTCACTGCCTTCCAGATCGCAAAGGGCAGTGCGTTCGCCCTCAGGAAAGCAGATGCAATCCAAAGCAATTCATCCCCCCACGTCCAACAATAACAAATGTTCCCAAACAGGCGAAGCAAGGACATTCGGGCCCTCCCCGGGCCGCCTTCTCGAAGGCGCCTGGGCCGGGTCCCAACTTACACTTCGCACAACGCCCCACGGCCACATCCTCTCGACACTCCAGACGGCCGCGTCCACCCCCGATTCTCCCAACCCGCCGCTAGATTTGAAAGCACCAAGCCCCCCCCCCCCCCCCACCTTTCCTCGTCTTCTCGCGCCACAGCGCCAGTGCCCTCCACGCGCGCATCCCCCACCCCCACACAGCGGTCAACAGCAAACCGAAGTGGTTTGTTTAGCATTGAGTACTGGTATACCAACAGCGAACTAGTAGTTTGCGGCGCCCCACTTCGTCACCGGGCCCCATTATGACCCATGACTGAAGACTCCTCCGGCCAATACGCGCCGCGCAACCCTGCTGCTGAGCGCCCGCGCCTGGGCTCCGCCTACACGTGCAGCTCGTCTTCCTCCTCCCCTCCCCCCGCGCACCCCTTGGGGCCCCCGGGCGCCAGCGGGTCCCCAAGGAACAGGGCCAAGACTCCCCCGGCGAACAGCGCCGCCGCCATCGCCCAAATCGCCTCATTGTAAGACCCCCAACGCTCCACCATCACCCCTGTGGCAATGGGGCCCACGATGCCTCCCAGGTTGGCCACCGAGTTGAAGAGCCCCAGGCCGAACGCCTTCGATCCCACGGGCAGGGTGGCGGAAGCGATTGTGGTGAGGATGGACCCGCCGCTGACGGCGCCGGCGGCGCCGATCGTCAATGCTGCGAGCCCCAGGGCGAGATGGGAGCCGCCGAAGATTGGCAGGGCGCCAAAGATTGCTCCGCCGAGCATGAAGGGGAGGGCGATGTGGAGGGTGCGCTCGCGGGTGGCCTGGGAATGCCAGCCGTTGATGAGGGTGGCTGCTGCGGCGGCGGCGTAGGGCACGGTGGCCAGGAGGATGGCGGCCGAGTTGGAATGGCTGGAGGAGGGATCTTGGGGGAGGGGAGGGCGCAGCCCGCGGCCGGAGCGCATGGCGGAGATGAGCAGGACGGACCAGAAGAGCATCACGTACCTGGGGCAGGCGGGAGCGTGCGTCAGGGTTTGTGGAAAACGTCGGGAATGGCCCCCGGTGCCCAAGTCTCCATGGAGGAGCGATGCAGAAATTGAAATCGGCATCGGCTGCGAAAGAGCGGGATTGGAGGCCCGGCGCTGCGCCAGCGTCGCCTGCTGTGGGCAGCGGCCGATGCCGCCGGGGTTTGATAAACGTCCCTGGCCTGTGGGAGCCGGGATTGCCACGCGGAATTTGAAAACGGGCAACGACAGCGCGCACATCTGGCGCGGAAACTCCGACGTGCGTCCCGCCAGCGACCACCCGAGGCTACCCGAGGCACCAGCCCTGAGGCAATTCGACCACCGGGGGCATGCCCCGGCAGCCCAAAATCGAACCCCCGCTGCCCTGATCCCATTCCACAGCGCGACGCCGCCAATCACTTTGCAACTCGCCGGAAGGGGCCCCTCGCACGCACATTGCCATCAGCCGCAGGAAGTAGATCACCGCGCATCCCCACAGCCGCGGGCTGGCCACGGCGTCGTACAGCTGGTCGAACGCCGGCCGCCCCTCCGCAGACGCCGCCTCCGCACCCCCCACCTCCTCCGCCACCCATTCCGCCTCCTCCCGGCTCAAAAACCGCGCAAGCGACGGCCCCTTAGGCATCCGATACCAGAACCATCCCCCGAGGGCGAGCGTGGGGATCACCTCGCTGACAAACAGCCACTGCCAGCCGGCCATTCCAAGCATCCCGTCCATTCCCATCAGCCCCGCAGCCGCCAGCGGGGACAGCACCTGGGAGGCCACGAGCGAGACGTCCACCGCCGCCATCGACACCGTGATCCTGTCCCGCGGCAAGAACAGCCCGAGGTAGTACCACACACCGGGGAAGGTGCCCGATTCGGCCACCCCGAGCAGCAGCCTCGCCGCGTAAAACTGCCCTGGAGTTCTCGCAAATGCCGTCCCTGCCGCCGCCAGGCCCCATGCGCACAGCGACGCGCCCAGAACTGCCGGCGTCCCCAGCCGCTGCATCAGCAGCGCCGACGGGATTTGAAAGACCACGTAGCCCAGGAAGAAGGCCGAGACGGACGCGCCGTACACGCCCTGGTCCCAGCCCCTGTCCGCCAGCAGCTGCCTCGCTGAAAGCCCCACGTAGGCCCTGTCCACGTAGCACAGGAACACCACCGCGCAGCACAGCGCCACGACATTGCCGGAGATCTTTCCCAGCGCTGTTTTGCCAATTTCGGCGTTCTTGAAGCCCAGCAGCGGGGTCGACGGGCTCGGGTCCGCGCCGGTGCATCGGCGGGGCGGGTGGGCGGGGATCATGCCGGCTCGACCGCTCCTGCCGTTCCCGTCACCATCTTCGCGTCGAAGCAGCGGGGCCTGGGATGCGGCATCACGATCGGAACCCGTGGCCATGGGCGGCGAGCGCGGGCAGCTGGGGGTGGCCCGACCCTGCGGCGGCCTGCGCGCGTGCTGGCTGCTGTTCGCGCGACGCCCGGAGGCGTCGGGAGCGCCTTTCAAGACGGCCGAAGACGCGGCCCTTCGGGCCCCAAGGGACGCGGGGCAAGGCGGCCGCCGGAGCTCCCAGTATTGCGCAAAGCACTGCGGACCGCGCTTGGTCGCGGCACATGGATGGCAGGTAGGTTTTGGGGCGTCTCGGAGCGCGGTAGGGGAGCCACGTGCGGGGCTCCTTTGATGGTTTGCTGCCTGGTGGCCCCATCCGCAGCTTCACGTGCTGGCCGGGGGGTTGCAGTGCCGTTCAGGGCCGCAGCCGGGGGCAGCGCACGGGATGGCCCCATGCTTGGCGCTGCGGCGAGGGCAGCCAACAAGAGCGCACTTACGAAGGCGCGCGGGGTCGAGCGGTGGCGACCCCTGACTGGGGACCGCAGGCTCAAGTACACGGCAACGGTTCACAGCGAAGCAGAGAGACAACGGGAGTCCTGCCCGTTCATCAGTGTCCTAAATTCAATTCCGAACGTATCACCACCTCTTATGCGTCCGGCTGTTAACAATACCCGATCAGCTCTTACTACAACAGCAACCCCAAGGCAGCCTGAAGGCCATTCCCCGGGAAACGTGCAAATACCACGTTTGGCGTGTGCGGGACAGAGGGCCCAGTGGGTGCCCTCGACACGGGCCAGATTTGGCAGCATCAGGGACTGGGGACAATTTGCGGAAAGAATTCCGAGGTTGGAATGCAAGCAAGGGATGTGGTAGCGTGCAATCCTCACGTGGCCCCACATCCGTGGTGCGGCTTGGTCTAGACCGCGTTCGATGCATTGTCACCACCAGGCTTGGTTTTTACGCCGTAAAAACTGATCGTATTTACGTTTTTACGCGTAAAAATAGTTTTTACGTTTTCACGTGTAAAAATGCGTAAAAATACGTAAATACAACGTAAAAACTGCCTGGTGTACATAAGGACAGTACATACAGATTTACAGAGTCCGGAGAGTGGCAGCCAGACGCCTTGGAAGGTGCAGAAGATGTGTTTTTGTTGAACGTCATTATCGCCCTTGCCAAAGGCGAGGTGGACATTGTGTTGCGGGTGCTGGAGATGGCGGAGGACTGCTCATTGTACGTAAGTTTTGTCGTGTAATCTACGTGTGCCAGGGAGCCGTAAAAACGTAAAAATAGCCGTAAAAATAGGCCCTTTTGCAAATTTACGTTTTTGCGCATAAAAACGTAAAAGTAAAAACGTAAACGTAAACGTAAAAACCAAGCCTGGTCACCACCGCCAGTCTGTTGCTCTTTCAAATCGCCTTCGGCAAGACAAAGAGGTCCCCTTGCGCTTTGCAGGGGATGGCGGGCGCGCCTGCATCCGAGTACGTGATTATGCCTCGCATCCGTCAACTCTGTTCAGCGACAAAAGGGAATGGAAAATCGTTGCAGCGTTCGGTGGCCGAGAGGAATGGCGATGCCCACGGCTATATGGCGCCTTGTGTCTGACACGACACTGGGCGCCGCAAGTGATTACTTGCATTTAGTTATTCGATTTATTGTAATAAATCGGCAAAAATACACGGTTTCGAACCAAGTAAAAATCGTGTAAAACCGCGTTAATAAGTGATACAATCATGGGCACTCGCCCAATCGTTACTACACAGTTTGGTCCCATGTCGACACGATAAATACACGATTTACCACGAATTTCAATCGGGTTACACGGCACACGATTTCCGATCCGTGCATTTTGGCTTGTCTTTTACCAGTGCGCACGGTGCACCGAGCTCTTCTCCAAGCTACCGCGCTTGCCTTCCCATTCAGCCTCCCAGACGGGATGCCTGGCCCCCAAAGCTCGAGCCCATCTCCGTGGAGAGGCAACATCAATCAATCTAGGATTCAGTCAATCAAGGGGTCCCGGCAATGAGATGTGCAATCGCGAAGCTGTGCCTCTTGGCCCGTGCGCAAAGGTATTTGGCCAGTGAGGCACTCCGACACTTGGCTCGCCTGCCACAGTCTGAAAATACCAATCTGCTGCTGGTGGGCGGGAATGGCAGAATTACAAGCATGCGCACTCAGCGCTTGCACAAAAGCTTACGGCTACCTGTGAACCGGTGCACATGACTTGGCCATACAACAAAATTGATATGATAGATTGGGACTGGGGTGTTACTGCCCAAACCATTTTAAGACCTCTGTGGGCTGATGGGAGGCGAACGCGTTGTGGCGGTCTGACCTTGATTCAATCGCTACACGTTTTGCAACGTCCTGATCTCAGGACCTCCCAGCGAGGGGAACGGACTTCGGAGTCCGTTGCCTGGAGGAGTTCCTCCCGCGGTTTCATGTTTCATTGCTATCCGTGCTGGAAGGCGGCGGCAGCCCGGCGTTATGCGTCTTACATCACCATCCACTCGAAATGCTGCCCACCTCATGTAATGCCTAGTTATGTTCAAATTGTGTCAGATTTGGACCAAATCGCGTGATCTCAGCCGTGTCACCTGGTGCTATATTTTCGCCAGCCATCGGACACTTCCACACCACGTTCGTCGGCCCTAAAGGGGCACTTACCACTCAGGGAATATTCCAGTGGCAGGGTCGGCCGGGGGCCACACATTGCTCGACAGGTTTCTTTCGTTTCGGTGAAGCCTGGGGAAGAAATTTGCGCGAAAGTCGCAGCTGTGATGGCATGACATGGTCACCCTCGCCACACCCGGCGTGGTCAACGCGCGGCAGCCATTCGGTCGCGTCAGCCCACAGTTTCAGAAATCGACAGCCCGGTGGCTGACACGCGCTTCCCAGTCAATGCTGTCCAACAAGGACAAAAACTGTGGGCTTCACAGTTTCCGAACCGATGGCCTGTTGGCTGACACGTGATGGCAAGTCAGTGCTTCTCAAACACAGGCAGAAACTGTGTGCTTCACAATTTCAGAAGCCGCCAGCCAATTGACAGTGCTGACCGGAGAGGTTCTGCGCCGCAGCCACAGGGACACAGCGCCCTTTTCCGCTCGGCCAGGCCCCAACCAAATCGGTCAAGTAGTCAATCGTTACGCAAGAAAGCAGGGTTGATCATTCGGGCGTTTCATCGGCACCCTGCAAGCTTCCCAGAAGGCGCATCCCGTCCGGCCCCGGCGACGGCGACACGAGTCGCGTCTGGTGTATGGTCCCGTTCCGTCGACTCGGTGTGAGACGCTCGCGGTGTGATGGTGTGCGAGCACCATGGCTATCACGGTACGCTGTACCGTACAGCGTCACACTGTCAAATGCGATGTGGGAGGTCACGGCGAGTGGCCAGGGCCCAACGCCACCCACACGCGGGTGCGCATCCCCCAAGGTCGCCGCCGCCGGGGTGCCCTTTCCACCGCAAAGTAACCATTTTCAAACTGCTCCAGGCAAGCTTCAGCATGCAACCCAGCGGGGCGGCCCGGGGGGCGCTTTGGGCGCGCGCCCCGCCACCCCGCGCCGCCCCGCAGGCCAGAACTGCCCTCGGAATGCCCACCCCCAAAACCTGGGCGCACCGGAGCCAGGGATGTCGTATGGGCCAGCAGGCATTGCACATCACTTTCGAGGCAACGAACGGCGGTACGCCCAGCCCCCCCCTACCGGGCTTGTCGCCCGTGCCACGGGCCCAGGGGGCCCACGGGCCCCGTGGCGCACGTTTGTTGGAAACGCGCACCAGAATTACCGGCTGGGATGGGGGTGGGGGGTGGGCGTCAAATCCCCCCCCACCTCACTCTTTGCGCGGGCACAAAGTGAGATGCACCAACCCGTCCCATCCACGCCATCGAGTGAGGCCACACACACCAGCGTCGCCACACGGGTGCCCTTGCATCTGGCGGTGCCTGGTTCAAGGGTCTTTCTCGAACATCCGGGCCCAGGTCGGGCGTGGCGTTGCGCCCCTCAGCCCTCCTTGGACGGCCTTGGTCACGATAACGCCAAAGGCCCCCTTGCGTGATGGGCAGGCAGACGCGGATAACGTTGGCACCAGGCTGGCGCCCACGTGGTTGGCGTCCCCTCCCTGCCGCGTACGTCCCGCGGCGCACTGCACAAACTACTGGCCGCCACAGCGCGATGTTCACCCTGAAGGTCGGGCCTAAGGTTTAGCTAAGCCCCGGGCTGCAACGTACAATGTACTGGGCGGGCGGCGTGACTGGGCGCGGCTTCCCCGCGCCTCCCACCGAAACTTCCGTTTTTTTGGTCGGGCGGGCATAAAAGGAGCGGGCCCCCCGGGCGCCGCCCCAGAAACACACACCACCCCGCACGCACGCGTTTTGGCCGAGGGGCGCTGACCGTGTTGACCGAGGCGTTGACCGCGTTGACCAAGGCGTCTGACTTTGAGCGCGGGGCCGCGGGACCGATCGGCGCGTTTTCCCGGCGGGAGGAGGAGAAGGAGTTGGGGAGAGGGCCGGCGGCCGGGGCGCCTGAGGGCGGCTTGGATTTTCGGGGACTGAATTTTCGCACCATAAAAACAGAGAGAGAGGCGGGGAGGGAGATGGTGGACCAGAGGCGCTTGGGCCGAGGCGGGAGCAGGAAGCCCGTAGGGAGACAGGACAGTGGTGGGCGCCCAGCACTTCCGTGGGCGGTGTTGGCCTGGGTGCAGGTCCAAATGTGTGGGGTAAAGGGCGGGAGGAATGCATGGACTGCGGGGGCGCGGGAAGAGTCTGGAAGGAGCGTGCGGGGGGCGCGTGGGCGGTTGGCCGGCCTGGGGATTTTTTGTGGTGATTTTTGTGGCGACCCGCCCGGCCCGGGCTCGGGTCTAGAATGTCCGGCGTGGGGGAGGCCCGAGGCGGCCGCCGCGCCGATTCGGGTTCCGAGCTCCGCGGAACGTCGACGCCTCCGGGCGGGATTTTTTCTTCGGGTCGCCGGGGGCGTGGCGCGGCCCGGCGGTGGGCATGCGGAGTATTGCCTGGTCGGGGCGGCCCCGGCTTGGTGTGTCCTGACTTCCGGGCCGGTGCGCGCAGGTGTCTTCCCAGCTG